CTTGGGAGGCTGAGGCAGGAGAATCACTTGAACCTGGGAGACGGAGGTTGCAGTGAGCCGAGATCATGCCACTGCACTCCAGCCTGGGCAACAGCGAGACTCTATCAAAAAAAAAAAAAAATTCAAACTTAAATGTGTGGAATAATTAGAATATTTGGATTATAATTTTCTTCCTTTGTGAAGTAGGACTTCTGTTCTATCTAATAATATGTGTGTATTTCTTCCAGGTATAAAAAAGTTGTTAGATGAAATTTTAAGATATTTAAGAAGAGCACTATAACGTCGTTTTTCTTAAAATTTGCTGTTTTTTAGTATATACCTGGAAGAAAAAATGTTAAGGGAAATTTTCTAAACCTTTAGCTAGTCATTCAATTTTGTAAATGTCTAAAAGGGAGACTATTTCATATTAAATGGTTTTCTCATATATTTTGAGGATTTTTTAATACATTCTAAGAAAAGCAGTTCTTGTTTTGGAGCCTATTTCTTGACACTGAGATATTTAAAAATGGACTGTGGTTAAGTGCATTATATTTTCCTGTAGGAACAGCATTATAATCAGAAGCTGTCAAAGGCTTTAACACCAAATAGATCTTTGCAAGGACCAGCAGCATATTTTGTAGCAATAATATAGCTCAACTTCCCTAAAATAGTGATATACACTCAAGATCCTATAACTTTTATTAAAGGTATTGACTCATTTATTATGCAGGAGACTTACCGGATGTAAAAATATAGAAACCCCCAAGCCAGCATGTTATATTCAAAATCTGACCTCAAATGAAAGTGCTGAACTATAAGAAACACTAATATGTAATTAACAGTATTTTTTTTGCTCAGATAAATCATGGTCTTTGTGTTTGGACTACTCACTGTTTCTAATACATTATATTCACCCGCAGACTCCTTCCCATTTCTGTGTCCCAAATACAGAGGGACAGAGCTGCCCCTTCTATTTACTGTCTTCCTTTCAATATTTATTGTTTTTAAAGAGCCTAAGAGTTTTAAAAATATCTGTCTTCCTTAAAGAGTATAAAATATCATCAGCCTCCTGTGTTGCTAAGGAGAATATACAAAGTGGCTAGTATTTTTGATACATCTTAAATAATGTATATTGGAGAGTTTATGATTGATACTTGTGAGTATAAACTAGTTATGAACCGACTGGGAATATGATTTCCTGGGTTTTGTTTTTTGTTGTTGTTGTTTGTTTGTTTTGATGTTGAAAGGATGAACTCAAAGTCTAGAATTCTTAAAAGAAGCCCCAGCGTTTAAAATTTGGTTATATTATATACTTCTAAACAAAGTAAGTGCTCACTATCCCAATCTATAGTTGGTAACTATAGCGTGAAATGGCAGAGAACAGACACCTTGCTGTTTTGCCTTTGTTCTCTGAAGCAGCCTCAGCTTCATTTAGGGAGGTTATGTAATGGAAAGCCCAGAAGGTACTTGTTTGAAGATGTTTCTAAGTTTTAGTTTTATTCCTTAGTCTTCAGAGATAAATGTGGGTAAGACAGTAGAGAAAAATTGCATGCTTGGAGCATGGGTGGAAAACTGGAGAGAGGAGATGAGTCATTCCTGGGGCAAGATCCTGCCCACTTCCTCTTCTGGAGGCTTTGATTCATGAGCCTGACACATGGGAGAGGGCCTGGCTCAGGGATTGCTGGCTATTCACACAGTTCTTGACAAACCAAAAAAGTCTGTGAATATAAAGTTGCTTTGGGGCCTTCATATTCATCTGGTGGTTTCTAGTGTCAGTTTCGCTATTTTATGAAGGAGAGAGGGCCCAGGTTGAAAACCAGGTATTAATTTAATACTCGTATTAATGGAGAAATGTGTTAGACATATACAAGTTGGAGTTCTATGAACTGCTACCAGGCTATTTGTTAATTTTCTGCAGATTATTGATTATTCCTTAAATTTTTGCAAGTTTTTAATCATATGTGAAGTCCCGTTTTCCTCCACATTTGAACAGTGCCATCAACTTCAGCTTAGATCACAGGAGAAGTGTGTGTCTTTAGCCTTCACTTTGAGCAGTAATGGTCATCTGGGTGACCCATGATGTGTTTTGGAGACTTTGGATGTGTGTTTGCAATAGATGCTGATTTCTGTGGGGAAGTAAGTTAATTTCTACATCGGTGATTGTGCTATTCTATTTTTGTTCGGGTTTTTTTTTTTCGCGGGAGTGGGGGGTGTTTTTTTAGCTCTAGGGTAAGGTCAGACAGGCAAGTTTTTGTTATTAGGGCATCTCCAGGAGAATACTCTCTCCTTGTTGGTTTTTGAAAAGGAGCCTCAGCACAGTACTACACAGGGATGTGTCACTGGGGTGGGAAAGGGGAGTTACTTTTGGATCTTGATGGGTCTCTTCCCTGTTCGGCGATCCACCAACCACCGCTGCCCCTGACTCTTTGGGTGGATGTGGACCTTGGATACATGTCATACATGTTTTCTTTTTCCTGATAATTTATAATTAGAAGCATTGGATTTTGAAGGCTTAAAGCTTCAGGCAAGTTACATGATTTATCATTATTTCGGTCAAACCATTTTTATCCTCCTGAAGAGCTCTCCCCTAGCAAACCACAGTTCAGACACCACAGGAAGGTATTGTGGTCCTGTCTTTTGAATTGACTGGATGTGGGTCATGATCCAAAGTTTTACACCCATCAAAAATACAGCCTGAATGGTAAAAGCCATCATTTGTAACCATGAATAACTGTCAATACGTGCTCACTTTTAGAAGTTTATTGCTAATTGAGAACTGACTGCATTTTGTGTAATTTGTCCCTTTTTGCACCAGAATGCAGTAAGTATGACCTGTTTGCAGTGCTGGTCTGTTGCATGCTCCTGTGTTAATAGCTTCTCTAGCTGTGTGAGTTTTGCAGTAAGTGGTTGTTGAATAACCGTGTGGATATAAAATACAGAATCCATACAGGAGTTTTTAAAGGTTATGGGCAAATTTAATTTAGTTGTAATTTAATCCTTAAATTGTTTTGTAATTGTGAAGCTTTGCCTCTGGTTTCTAATCTGCTTATATGTGTTTCATAGTCCTGTTTTAGAAGTGTACTTTGAGCTGTTCATAGCCACACAATGTGTCTGAGGACACTAGTGCTTTCCTTTCCTTCTCATTATTTGCTGTTTGATGATTTAGCATAATTGGGTTGAAATAGCTCCATGGGCACAGACTTGCCAAATAACAGATTTGCTCCATGAGACTGTTGTCTAAAAAAAAATCAAAGATCTGCTCTTATTAATTTTTTACTTATTATGTTATTAATATTTTACTTTTACTTATAGGTTTTATTTATAGTTGCATCATAGAAGGACATACTTTAGCAAAGCAATTGAGACTTTATGATATATGGAATGCCTTTATGCTGAGTAAATAATAATAAGGCATCTATACTAGACCAACTTCAGTTTCTAATTGAAATTGTTAACTCTGTGAATTTGAGCACAGGGTTTTTAAAAATTTGTGTGAAAATGAGGACTGAGAAGTACCCTTTGTATCTGACTATATTTGTCAAAAGTGTTGAAAATAAATGTTTGCCCTTTAGTAAGACCCTTCAAGACATAAAACAAACAAACTTTCATCTTTGACTAAGTTTAGCATTAACAAGATAAGTCACTGATAGTATATTCACATGTGTTATTTATGACTTCGAGTTTAAAATTTCCTCTGATCACTGCATCACTGGTGATTAGAAATTCCTAGCTGACTTCCAGGAAAGAATGTAGTTAGATGCTGTAGCATAAGTATCATTTTTAAGTTTTCCTAAGTAGGACCGAAATTGATAAAAAAGATCAACTTTCAGAAGACTCTGTGACTTTTTCACTTCTATCATATGTGGAGGGATTTGAAGGCCAGTGGCTGTGCCTGTTCACAAGGAGCAGTGAGCTTTGGCCACACCATTACATGTGGGCTCTCCTTGCTCATTAGACCAGGACTGGCCACCACTGTGGGAGAAGAGTCCATTTTACCAATGGTGGAGACATACTATCGCTTGCTCCCACTGCCGCCATCTTTGGGCAGTAAAGAAAAATAGAGGTGAAAACAACAAGTTTTAGTGTCAGATCTACTTCTTCCTGGATGATGTGGTTCTTGATAAATTTATTCATTTGGTGCCCTCAGGATGTACAGCAATACATTAAGCCCTGCAGATTATTCAGAAATGATTTAGACATAAAGCTTCTGTCAGTGAAATCATAAGAGATTAATATGAAGGAGAGGCTGCTGAGACTTGTAAGAGTGATCAGGGGTGTGGGCCTTCTACAGAGAGGGATTGTTTCTTGTCAGGGAGATGTTTTATCTTTGGGTCTCCATTTGGAAGGAACTTCATTTGTTCATTCACTCAGCCAGTACATATTGAGAACTTGCTAGGTGTGAGGTGCTACGTAAGGAGTAGGAATACAGTGAACAAGAGAGCATGGTCAGCCCTCGCCCGTAAGAGTGTACAGGCTAGTGAGGCAGATGTATGTGAAGTTATCTGTACATGTGTACAGTTACACATACACACATGTTCATATAACATGATCTATAAAAAGGGTTAGGATGTAAGAGTCAGAGTGAGGGATCTGTCTCTGGATGGGGACAGTAAGAGGTCAGTTCAGGAGGACTTCCTTAAGCTCTAAAGTTTCACCTGAGAATGGAAGATTCAGAACTTGGTGACAGAGATTGTGGAGCTCACTGTGTCTTTGCTGATCTTTCAGCAAAGGAAGTGAGATTGTTTCTAGCTTCTCTGTTTGGGGTGCTTCTCTGTCAACTAAAAATCTTCATCCTTCAGATATTGCATTATTTGTGTGTATTTCATTCATCATTTACTCATGACCCACTCCTCAAGTACCTGCAATGGGCAAGCGTCTGTCCTAGGAGCCGTGTGCTGGGCTGCAGTTAAATCTGAGAGATCATGTGTGGCATTTCTCATGGATTGAGATGTCTGAGTGTCATTGTTTTGGAAGAGCTAGTGGCACGGTTTATAAGGCTTTTTTTCATTTTCTCCATACAGGACAACAGCTTTGAGCAGTTCATTATTAATTATTGTAATGAAAAGCTGCAACAAATCTTCATTGAACTTACACTTAAAGAAGAGCAGGAGGAGTATATACGGGAGGTAATGTTGAAATGCTTTTTTAAAGTGTTGGTCCTTTTTTACTCATAATATAAATTCTAATTCAGAAGATAGCCTAAACAAGAAGCCATATTCAAAAGGCTACAAACTGTATGATTCCATCTGTCACTCTAGAAGAGGCAAAGCTATAGAGACTAATTGCCTATAAAAAGCTATAGAGTCAGGGGTTGCCAGGAGATAGGAGTCGTGAGAGGGTTGTGGCTGTAAAGAGACAGCACGAGGGAATTTTGGGGACGGATTATGGTGGTGGTTACTTGACATTACACATTTGCCAAAACTTAGAGAACTGTATACCAAAAAAAGCCAGTATCACTGTAAGTAGATTTGAAAATATTTTGAGACTTTTTTCAATATCAAAAAGTATTGAGTATTCAAATTTATAGTAAAAATAGGTAATAGTTATTGAGCGCTTACTACATAGCAGGTATTAAGTGCTATGTATGGATTGTCTCATTTAATGTAATCTTAAAATAACCAGAAGTAGTGTTTGCAGAGTCTTTTCATCATTAATTTAAAAATATATATTTGCTTTTCATCCTATTATTTTTAAAAATAGCCAGTCTTTTTCCAGGTATAAAATTAGTTATTTCAAAAAATAAAAAGGAGGAATTGTTATGTTTATATTTTTATTTCCTTTTTTGTTTATTTGCCTTAATATTTTAGTAATGATATTACCTGTTTTCCTTTATTTTCTTAGTATCATTTAAAGCCATTAAGGACACTGAATTCTCTTTTATCTTTCTTTCCATATAGATTTTTCTAATGTGATTGTTATCCCCAGTGACTTAGTAAAACAACCCATTTACTCGAAAGCTAAATCATAAATATTTCATCTTTATTTTTTAGAGTACTCATTATGCTTCAGAAATGTTTTATACTTGTCTGGCACCTTTTGGTAACATAAATATTCTAAAAGCACGATTCATTCTTTTCCTGTCTTCTCATCATGAAGAGAATGCCCAAACTTTGATGGGTAACTTAAAACAGTTTGTACAGATCGTTTAAAACACTTCTAAGAATATATAGAAAGATTCCTAGCTTGCTTTATGAATAGAAGACAAATAAATGTTTACATTTATAGACAGAATGTAAGTAGACACAGAAAGATTACATTTGGCTTTACGGATTTGGCTTTGTAGCCAGTGTTAGAACCAGTGGATAGGTTTTCATGTCTTTCCTTATGTTGAAAATACTTTGTGGTAGCGCTGGCCTTTTTTTAGCACTTGAAAGAGTTAACTTCCCTAAAACACAAGATTGACTCTAAAATTAATTTTTTTCCTTATGATTACAGATTCAGAACAGAAGAATCTAGGCCTTAAATTCTTGGGATCAAGTTCTAACTTATTTCCTTATAAACATTGTAAACATACACAAAGTAATATTGACCCAAGGGCCTGTTGAGTAAATATTTGGCCCAGGGCCAGTGAAGTGCATGGGAAATTGCTGCAGATGGGAGAGTGGAATGGAAGGCAGTCTCAGAACAGGTCAAGGGTGTTTGCTTCAATCAGATTATGTCAGTGGTAGGCAGCTGCATTGAGAAAGTTTTGGGAACTGCCTGTGACATTTGCAGTACCCATTCTGTAAAGAAAATAAATTCAGAGAGGAAGGGAAATATGATAAGATGGGCAAAGTCTGCTTTATGGATGGTAGTGTCATGGCTTCATCTTGTGTCATTGGATTTTGTTCTGTTTTGTCTTTTAGGATATAGAATGGACTCACATTGACTACTTCAATAATGCTATCATTTGTGACCTAATAGAAAATGTGAGTACTTAGGTACAGTTTTCTAAAGAATATTTTAGTACTGTAATTCACCCTTACAAATGTTCTCAGTGCCTCAGTGTTAAGCATTAGTATTTTCACTGTTATACACACACACACACACACACACACACACACACACACACGTTAAGGAACTGCAGAGTTCTAGAGATTTTATTGTAGCCCTAAGAGATCATACACAGTTCTTGAACACATACATAGACAGCTGGATGTTTTGATACTTAGCCAGGATCCCCTGTGGCCATATCACAACACCCTTTTATGACCTTCAGACACCAGGCCTTAAAGGTACCAGCCTTTCTTGTATGGTTGGATTCCAGGTCTATTCCATGGCTCCTGGGCGTGTGAGTACTGATCAGAGTAGGCTCTGAGCAGCCATCCAGTTTTATGCCAAATCATAATATTCATTTCATTCCCAAAGCTCTGATGACCTCTTAACATACTATTCAGCAGGTATTATATTAAGTTTAAGAGACATAAAGGGACGACCCCTGGAGCTGCGTTAAGTGGGACCCCAGAAGTGGCTCTAGTACAGCTGTAGCATTGATTCAGATCATACATGCAGAGGGCATTGCGTGTATGACTGCGGGTGGCCAGGGACCTGGAATTTTTCAGGTGACCCAAGTATGTGCGTATGCGAAAAGGCTTACAGTGTGAAAAATTATCGGATAATTTCGAGTAAGCTTTCTGCGTCCAAGATTTTTGTTTTTAGATCATATTCTGTAGTTTATTATAAATGAATTAAATGTAGGAAGACTGATTTGGTGTGTGGAAAACAGGAAACTAATTTATGCTTGGGATTACTAATACCTGATTTTGAATAAGTAATTTGAAACAGTGTATAAGCTTTATTGTCCTGCAGTAAGCAAGACCAGTTTAGTGAGGTGAGTGCTGTGTTTAAGGAGTACAATCACGTGCTCTGAATGAATATCAAATCATTTTCTACTCATCTTTTACAAAGCTTTTTGGGAAATATGTAATTAGCCAGTATTTTTTTCCTCAGTATTCAGCACATTCCTAAAAGTTGTTTCTCTGATTAAATTGAACATAAAAACAATATTCTAAGGCGTCACTATTTTTCAATAAGAAATAAACTGTGTTTCAGAAAATCTGAATAATGTTGAATGGGAACACTAATATTCCATGTAAGCAGTTCAGATCTCTGATTTTGGCTCTGAAAAGTGAATTTCCTAAAAATTTTCCTGGTACATTTTGTGAAGGAGGTAATTTGCTGTGGGAATCTTAAGTTTCAGATTTCTGGTTAGTATGTTTTCCTTGATAAATATAACCTTGCATTTAATTATTCTCTTTTAAGAAGGGGAGAAAAAGAACAGTGGTAATACACTTAATTTAAGTAGATTATCTCAGCCAAAAATTCCCTTGCAATATGATTGAAGAAGCTCATGTTCACATAGGAACCTGGGTATATAAAGGAAATGTTTCCTTCCAGCATCATTAAACAATAATGTTTGTTCTGGGGGGATGTTATGAACACACTTGATTCCTGAGAGTCCACACTTCCCCAGGGTTTTGTGTGGAATGAATAAATGCTGGTCACCAGAGGATGTCGTGGCCTTGTAAGCAGAAGGGGAGAGGAACCAGAGGACTTTGCCTGGGTGGAAGTAGGTGGGGTTGATGGTCAGTGGAGTGGATTGTTTTTGGAATTAAGACTTATGACCCCATAGGGGCAGTCCATGGAGCAGCAGTCTTTATTTAGCAAAGTAGAAGCTTCCTGACTTCTGGTTCAGTTAAGGGCTGACTACTCTTGGAATAAAAATGACCACAGGGTCTAGATATGCAACAAACAAATTTTCACCTATGTTTAACATCCATTTAGAAATTCCACATGAATTTCTAAAATCTAAATCTATATGAAACAGATATTCTTGAAATCAGCTTGATTGCAGTGATTGTTAAAAGCAGCATCTCAAATCACAGCGTTTTTTTCTAGAAAATTAACTTTATTTTGAACACATGAACAATTTGGAAACACAGAAAACGAGTTTCCTTCTTAGGAGTGAATCAAATAATGGCCTTAGAAGACTGTGCTTTGTGATTTGAGACATGTTATAGAGGCTGTATTGTCACATTCATTTCTGCTTTTAGGTTTGTTTTTGAATCTTTGAGATCCAACTTGTCTTTTTCTAAGAGTATAAATTTTAGTCATCATCAGGCTAAGGTGTCTGAGGCAACTCCCAGGTACTGTTGTGCGGGGAGAGAGAGACCAAGAAGACACACTCTTCCCAACCACACCACCATAAACACACCTGAGATCCTTCAGGAAAGAGCTGATTCCTGAGGCTTTTGTTACTGTTTTGATTCTCTGCTTTTTGTTATAACCGAACAGACTTTTCTTGTGACTAAGTTGATTGTGTTTGATGGTGTCATTAGGAATAATTATTAAAACAATACAGTGAGGAAGGAAGGAAACTTTTTTATTTCCTTTTTCCCAGAACACAAATGGAATCCTGGCCATGCTGGATGAGGAGTGCCTCAGACCTGGCACAGTCACTGATGAGACCTTCTTAGAAAAGCTGAACCAAGTATGTGCCACCCACCAGCACTTTGAGAGCAGGATGAGCAAGTGCTCTCGGTTCCTCAACGACACATCTCTGCCTCACAGCTGCTTCAGGATCCAGCATTATGCTGGAAAGGTATGGGGGAGCTGTGAGCACCCAGTCAGGCCTGCCAAGTTACCCCTGCAAGGAGGCTGTGCCTCAGAGACGGGCGTTCGAAACCCCATTAACTTGTGAGGACAAATTGAGCTGCGCTAAAGTGGTTGAATCAATAAATATTCAATAGAAATAGAATCTGGACCATGATGACTAAAATCTTATTGATACAGAAAACCGAAAGCAAAGCTAATGGACTTACTGAAGAGTCTAAATATATTTTTTGAATGAAACTCTTAAGCTATCCTATATAACATATCTATTAACACTATTGAAGGAGACTTGCCAGTACAAATTAGGAGTCAGTAAAGACTTAAGGCTTTAAAAACACAAGCCATTTAACAAAAATAATGAATTCTTTGAGATTTTGAAATGACATTAGGGAAAATATTTACTTTTTTAAAAAAGTACTTATTTATTTGGTTAGTATTTGGGGGAATTAATTTTATGCCATCTAATATATAAAGACAACCCTAAAAACAATCTTAACTGATTAATCTTTAGAATCCTGAAAGATTATTGATTAGAGCTAATACTTCCTTTTTCATAAAATTGCAAACTTCAAAGGGGAAAAAATGCTTGATTATATATTTGTAAAAATTCAGTTTATAGTACCTGAATTATCTTTAATTTCAGAATGTTAGAACTTGGTACCTTATGTTTTTATTAGCCTATATTATTAAAAGATAATTTCTGATCAGTTTTTCTTCTGCTTCAGGATATTTATGAAAATGTTAGTATTGTTTCTGTTTTGCCCCATCTACTTTTAAACAGACTAGAATTGGCATATGAGAACTAAAAACTAAAAGTAAAACCCCAGAATATTTTCAGACTCCTAAAAAAATGCAAAATCCTTTGAAAATGTTATGATAACATTTTTGGAGTTTATTCTTGCAAATCCTGAATGGTAATAGAATTTATTTTGATCTTGTCTGTGATTTAGACAGATGGAATTTAAACTTGGAGGCGAACTCAGTATGAGAGTGTGACTAACGTGTCAGGGATTTTTTGATGGTGAAGGAAGAGGCTGCAGTGTAGATAGTCTTGGAGTATTTTTAATAGTTGTTTGACATTATAGCATGCAATGTGCCTGTCATTGAGTTCCATGTGCTGCTTATAGGTGCTGTACCAGGTGGAAGGATTTGTTGACAAAAACAACGACCTTCTCTATCGAGACCTGTCCCAAGCCATGTGGAAGGCCAGCCATGCCCTCATCAAGTCTTTGTTCCCCGAAGGGAATCCCGCCAAGATCAACCTGAAAAGGCCTCCTACAGCAGGCTCACAGTTCAAGGCATCTGTGGCCACTCTGATGAAGAACCTACAGACCAAGAACCCAAACTATATTAGGTATTTCCGGCACATAAAACTTTCACAGTTCAAATGTGAGAGCACCCCGAAGGAATATCATTTTTCCCTTTGTTTCAATCTGAGTGTAGCCCAAGCAGAGAGTAACTAAAGTACTTACAGATTAAATAATACCTTATCTGGGATTGGCTTAAAAAATGCTCCACTATCCTTTCCCCTAAAATAAGAAAGTAAAAAACTAAAGTGTGGTGGAGAAGATAGTAGATACTTAATGAAGCTCAGTGGTTGACACCTAGGTGTTTTCAACTTTCTTTATGTTTATTTATTTATTTTTTTAATGGCAAGTTAACAAAATGTAAGTGTTTTTTCTGGTCAGTGTTTTGCAGAAAACTTGTTGGCTTCATTTGGGATTCTTGTTATTTTAGCTTAGAGCACAGCATTGAAGCAAGGCTTTAGTTACAACTCTGGCACTTCTTAGGAGACATGCACTGTTTTCTTCCCTGTGAGAGGTGTAGGCCTAGAGAAAGTAATGATTCCTAAAGCAATCTGAATTTTTTTCAAGGCAGTAGAAAGAACTTCTTAAAAGGGGCCGGGCGTGGTGGCTCACACCTCTAATCCCAACACTTTGGGAGGCGGAGTCGGGTGGATCACCTTAGGTCAGGAGTTCGAGACTAGCCTGGCCAGCATGGCAAAACCCTGTCTCTACTAAAAATATAAAAAATTAGCCGGACATGGTGGCGGGAACCTATAATCCCAGCTTCTTGGGAGGCTGAGGCAGAAGAATCGCTTGGACCCAGGAGGCAGAGTTTGCCATGAGCCGAGGTTGCGCCACTGCACTCCAGCCTGGGCGACAGAGCAAGACTACGTCTCAAAAAAAAAAAAAAAAATTCTAGGCTCTTCTCTTTTTCTGCTCCTAGGGCATCTTAGACAAAACTCTCTAGATTTAGGCCGGGCGCGGTGGCTCAAGCCTGTAATCCCAGCACTTTGGGAGGCCGAGACGGGCGGATCACGAGGTCAGGAGATCGAGACCATCCTGGCTAACACGGTGAAACCCCGTCTCTACTAAAAAATACAAAAACCTAGCCGGGCGAGGTGGCGGCGCCTGTAGTCCCAGCTACTCGGGAGGCTGAGGCAGGAGAATGGCCGGAACCCGGGAGGCGGAGCTTGCAGTGAGCTGAGATCGGGTCACTGCACTCCAGCCTGGGCGATAGAGCGAGACTCCGTCTCAAAAAAAAAAACAAAAAAAAAAAACAAAAACTCTCTAGATTTAGTGAAGACCAGCTAGGATTAGAGTTTGCTATGTGTGTATTTGGTGAGCTAGATAATAGAAGGAATGTGTCTGGTGGGTCAGATTTCACAGAGCACACCCATACCCACAAATACCTTCTATAGTTGTCTTTGAAAATGCAGTTATGAGGAAACTAGAGTGAAGAATATTTTTGTGTTTAGTTTGTGTGCCTGATATTTATATTCACAGAAATGTAAGTAGACAAAACCCTCTGGTTTGATTGCCGTCGGATTAGAACATATGTTGGAGAGGATCCTAGTTTCAAAAAAAATCCAAGAAACTTTCTGTGATGAATTGCTTTTGTTATTCTCAATTGAATGAATTTTTTTTGCATCTTAAGTATATTTTATTGAGGTATCATTTATGTGAAGTGATATGCACAGTTCTGAAGTGAACAGTTTAATTTTTTTTTTTAACCATTCTATATACTTTAGTGACCACCACCCAGGTTAAGACGTAAAACATTTCCATTACCTCAGAAAGCTTCTTCATTCCCCTCCTTTTTTAAATTTTTACAATTTTTCTAAGAAATCTTAATTAATAAACCCCAAGGTTGTGAATATATTATTGTATATTTCCTTCTAGAAGCTTTGTAGTTTCAGATTTCATATTTAGGTATGTTTCCCCCCAGTGTAGATATCCTGGTGCACTAACACCATGTTGAAAAGAAAACAGTCTCCTTTTCCCATTGATTTGCTTTGTGGCCTTTATTGATAATCAGTTGAATGTATATATAGGGGTCTGAACTTACTAGGCTGTTCCATTTATCTATTTGTCCGTCTTTCTTTAAGCCAGAGAGTAGACATTATTTTTATAAATGGTAAAAGAGAAAGCATACTAACACTGATGCCCAACAACCTAAGATGTAGTTGTCCACGTAAGTGTGTAATTTCACAGTTGTAGTTAGGCAGCCACAATCATGAATGTTTAAGTATTAGTTAGGACACAGGGATTGCTACAGTGTGATCCAACGCTAACAATGATTTAAGCAAGACTGATGTTTATTTCTTAAGTAACTTCTAAGTATGAGGACTCCAGAGCTGACAGGGCAGTTCCTTCTGTTTTGTGGCTCTGCTGTTTCCTGGATGTGTTCCTCGTCTGCATGGTCAAAGATGGCTGTCCACCACGTCAACATTTGCAGCCAGCAGTAAGCTGGAGGAGACCAAGGGGAGAGCCCATCCCTTCTTTTAAGAACACTGACTGGAGGCTGCAGATATTACTTCCCCTCTGATCCTAGCGGCCAGAGGTTGCTCACCTGGCCACACCTACTTGCAAAGGAGGTTGGAAAATAAAGCTTTTCCCTGGACAGCAAAGTGCCCTGTTAAGAAAGGAGAGCAGATATAGGGAGGAAACAGTGTTTTTAATCTTTTTATTGAGGTATAATACATATACATTAAAGTGCATGGATCTTAACTGTACAGCTTCTTGAAGTTTTACAGATGTATGTGCTTGTGTTACCCCATCCAGACCAAGTGGTAAAACATTCCCATCAGTTCAGAAGGTTCCCTTGTGTCCCTTGCATGTCGATCCCCCACTGCTACCTCTCCCCAGAGGTAACAGCAATACTGATTTTTAACCATGGGTTAGTTTTGCTTGAACTTGATATAAATGGAATCATAACTACAGCATGTACTCTTGTGTTGGACTTTCACTCAATGAAGTGTCAGTGGTACTCATCCACGTTATTGCATTTATTAGTGTGTTCTTTTTAAAATTACTGTGCCTGCAGTATTTATTTTTAGGTTGTTGTAAAATGATTTAAAATAATTTCAAAAGTAATGACTGGGTTTCTTAAGAATAACAAATAATTGTTTTGCTATGAAACAGTTATATATAATACTTCATTAAAACATAGACAATTGTATCCATAAGAGGCAGTTTGTAACCTAAAATCTTTGTAATCTTTAAGGTGTATCAAACCGAATGATAAAAAAGCAGCACACATCTTCACCGAGGCTCTAGTGTGTCATCAGATCAGGTACCTGGGGCTTTTGGAGAACGTCCGAGTGCGGAGGGCAGGCTACGCCTTCAGGCAGGCCTATGAACCTTGCCTAGAAAGATACAAAATGCTTTGTAAACAGACATGGCCTCATTGGAAAGGACCAGCCAGGTAAGAAATTCAGTGACCATGTTTAATAATGAATGTTTTAAGTAGTCAGATAATATGGGGTTTTTTTCCACATAAAATTCATAAAACAGAATTTTATGAAAAACTGGGTGTAACCTCTGTTTTGGACCTTCTTCCATTAGGATACCATTTTGTGCTAAGGTCAAAACAAGACTTATCAAATCCACATTTGGGACTTGTGTGGCAATAACATTAATTTTTAGAATATTTCCAAGGTAGGTTCGTAGGAGGTGATTTGTAATTTGATACATTTATATTTGTGTAGAATCATAGAAGGGTAGAATTAGAGACAGGTTGGATTACCACTTGTCACTTTTCCCATGAAAAATTTGGCTGCAGAGAGAGTCAGTGGGTGGGTGAAGGTCCCTCTCTTTGCCTAGATCTGTACCAGTTAATCGATAAACAATACAAGCAGGTAGGATTCACAGTGTCAGTGTTACTGCTGGGAAAGCTAGATTAGAGAATTTAGCTTGGACCTGGTGCCATACAGCTTTCAGCTGGTCTGACCTGAATTGCATTTACTCATCCAGTCCCAGACAGAGTGCTGGACACCGCAGGCCCAGTGGTGCATCCCCATGTCCTGCAAGCTCTCCCCGGGCAGAGAGAACTGTGTACTGACGGGCAGCTGCTGCAGGAGAGAAATGGAGCCTTGCTTGTTCAGTGACCTTCCTTCTGCTCTCACCAATCAGAGAGGCTGCTCCTCTGCAGGCTGAAGAAGCTTGCCCCTGAATACTGCTGGACGGCTGACATGCCTGTTCCATGGGCATGGGCAGGATATGGGCGATTTTCATTTAACGATATTGGTATTGCCTACACATTCTCAGTGCACCTGGCCTTTCACAGGAACATCAGCACTCTTAGGACACTTACCTTGTATTATAAGAAGATCTAGAAACTACAGATGTATGATGTGGTCTCTGATGCCTAATTTAATACCCTAATTTAATGTAGGATCTGGGTGCTGTTTCAGTTCCCATTGCTAATTTCCAGAGTATTATGGTAAACAGGTACCATAATACAGAACATGTATTCACTCGCTGCCTGGCATCTAGTCCTCAGGTGGGTGGAGTGAGGTTTAGTTCTAAAGACTGATGTTGAAACCAGGGTCAAGGATGGAGAGGTCAGGGCCAAGTCCAGTTCTTGCTCCCATGGGGTAAAGCCCACGTTTCTTAGTGTCCCATTGGTCTGGGACTGTCTCTTGGACTCTGCTTGTATTCTCAGGGGCAGAAACAATGTTTAAAATATTTTCAGGAATTAACTGAGTGAGTTTAAAATAGATCTGAGTTTCTTGCACACCCTCCTGGCCCAGGTTGGTACATCGTTATACGTATGTTTGATACAAGTATTGCCTCTACTAATGAAATCAAGAAATTGGCTTTAATACCACATTTTCTTAGAATACATAGTTCTGAACCCAAATTTACTTTTTCGGTGTTTACTGGACTTGGTTTAATTTGTGGAAAATTCTTTGATAGAAGGATGATTACTGAAAGAGCAGTCACACTTGGAAATGAAGCTATGTTTTATACCACTGAGAACCTGATAACCGTGGTAGAAGATAAAACTTTTTGTAACTCAGAAAACTCATTGTTTTTATTTTTATTTTTTTAGGTCTGGTGTGGAGGTCCTATTTAATGAATTAGAGATTCCCGTGGAAGAATACTCCTTTGGTAGATCAAAGATTTTCATCCGAAACCCAAGAACAGTATGTAACCAAAACCTTTGCATTCTGAACTTAAGTTGGAATCATATAGGAAAGTTCTTAAAATATGTTTAACTTTATAACATTATATGAGAGGCTACCATGAATGTCACAAAACACTTGTGTGTTTATCTACAAATAACCAAGAGGCATGGACAGATAAGGGGTAGTGGAAGAATGTGTACTTTTTATGAACCATCAAAGTCTTTGCTCTGACAGAGTTTACAACACTTAAGAAATCACAAAGAAACTGTTAGGACAACAGTACAACGTTCATAGCAACTGCAGGTAAATTCAGTCTGTATTTGTAATACCTGAATTATACATTAATTTTAAGAACTACAGCCCTATTATTTAGAGACACAGGAAAGCACTAAAATGAAAAAAATGTTTTAAGTAAAAAAATACTTTTCACATTCTACCTCATAGAACCCCAAGGAAATCTTTTTGTCAATGAATAGATGAGTGTGAAGTATAATGAGTATAGCAGGTGACTGGTAATTTGGAAACGTTGAGATTTTGGAAAGTGTTTAATTCATTTAAGAGAGAATTTTCCAGCATCTGCCTTCCATTAGTAATTTGCATCCTCATAGACTGTGTGAAGGCAAACTTAAGCTCAATTCAGCCCCTCTCTGATTTGTCATAAATTCTGAATCACTGGAATAAAAATTGTAAGTCTTTCATGAATTCATCAAAATAATTTTCTCACGGACCATTATCCGTATCACGTATAATGAACATGGTTATTCAATTCTTTTTTTCAATGTAATTGACTCCAACATGATGGCATTTTTGTCTCTTGAAAATTCCTTTCGGTATGTGCTGTGAGGTTTCAGAGGATTTTTAATAAGACCATCTATCATTTCTTATTAGTTATTCAAATTAGAAGACCTGAGGAAGCAACGCCTGGAGGACTTGGCCACTCTCATTCAGAAGATCTACCGGGGGTGGAAATGCCGCACACACTTCCTGCTAATGAAAAAAAGCCAAATTGTGATTGCCGCCTGGTATAGGAGATATGCGGTAAGAGTCTCAGTCATTTTAAATCAGTAATAACAATGCTCATTTGCCAACATTTATTATGCACTTACTATGTATGTGATTTTTACACACTTAATTCTCCCGACAACCTCATGAGATAATGGATGTTCTTAATGGTTCTTTTTTTTAAAGATGAGAAAACTAAGACACTAAGCTGTTAAGTAATTTGCCCACAGCCACATAGCTGTAAGTGATAGAGTTGGGATTTTACTCCAAGACAGTATTAGAGCTCAAGTTCAGTGTACCACACTGCCTTTCACTGATCTAGCTGTATTTGGTTGGAAATACATTTTTAATTTGGTCATCAGATTGGAAGAGACAATGTCCTCTAAACTTTTGATTTGGTTGGGCTAGTTTTTCAAAGTAATTGGCTATTCTTTATTGTAGCAGCTTTGAAAATGGCTTTAATTCCGGAAAGCTAATGTCATATTTTTGTAGATTTCTGGTGTTGGTTAAAGGATTGCGTTCTTTTTAGTCCTTAGGTATCTGGCTCTGTTAACTATAGGGGAAAGATTCAATAATAAATAATGTTTACCTAATTAATATGAAGTTTCTTTTTGGCATTTCCTTCCTCACTTGATTGTAGAGGTTTTGTTGAAGGCATACCTCAGGTTTGAGAGAAGCCTGAAGGTTGGCCTCAAGGTTAATTGAAACTTGGGCTGTGTTCTCACAAAATGAATTAGATTTGCACTCACATCTCCTTTCTCATATTCTTCCTCTTTTTCAGCCATAAAGAGACTTTGCTATAGGACTGTATATAATTGAGACATAATTTACGCTGACCTGTTCTCACATAATACATTTTGGTTTATTATTTCCAAGTTTTACAAATTAATGAGGTACTTAAGTGATTAAGCTAAAGAAAATCAGCTTGAGAGTATCTTTACAATGGCTCATGCTAGTTAAGATTATAACCAGCAGTATAAGTCTTAAAATATGAATCTGCCCAGCCATGTGAATGATAGAGTCATTCATATGCATTCTGCAAAGGCACTTTGGACTGTTGTCACCCAGCCTGGTGGCCGTGGAGTCTCCTTTGTACACATAGTAGCATCCTTAACTCTGCTACAGATTCATAATGCTCTGTTTTCTGTTTGGCTGAGAAAGGGAGGACCAACAAGTAAGCAGTCCTCAAGGAGCCCTTTTTATGATTTCTTATTTTGAGGTCATTAAGAAAAGTTTACAAGTGTGCTGGATTCATCTGTCTTGAATTCTACAAATATTTTTAAAACATGTTAGCAAGGTGGACAAAACAACCTAATTCCTGACTTCCTAAAGCTTATATCTAGTGAAAGACAATATGCATTTAAGCAAACAAATAATCAGAACAATTATAGACTGTTGTAAGTGCTAGGAAGGAAACAGAGAACTGAGATAAAGAATAATGGGGAGGCGGGATGTGACCTAAGAGTGGTCAAGGAGAAACTTCTGGGAGGGGCCATTTGATCAGAAGGATGAGAAAGAACAGGCAATACCAAGAACTAGGAAGATCAAGTATTATTTGTACCTTTTCTCCCAATATAAATCTTTAATATCACCAGATTTTAAAATGTCACTATGTATCATTAGTTCATGATGTCAGGAGTTATAAGCAATATTAGTTTGTAGAATGAAAACTAAGAATAGCCCCAGTTTTAGAGAATGCATTAACTTTGCTCTAGTGTTACATCTCTTTCAAAATTTGAACTACATACCTCAACCAGTTCACTGCATGTTACTCAAGCCAGTGATTAAACTCATTATTTTCCGTCAACCAGATAACTCAAAAGATTTCTTGAATGCTTCTTTTTAGTTGCTGGTTACTTTTAAGTTATTCCATATTTTGTGATATTTCATGTTTCCTAGAGATGAATTTTCAAGTGAGATGTAGTTATTTTCAAGACATTTATGAATTAAAAAAATAAAAAACCACAGAGGTTACCAAATGGATGTCAGAGTGATGGTCAGATACCATAGCTGTAGGTTGTTCATACATCTGTGGAATATTACTCTGGGAAGAATCCTAGAGATTTTCCATCTCCTCATTTAACAGCTGGGGAAACTGAGGCTCAGAGAAGGTGAGTGCCTTGTCTGAGGTCCCAGGATCCTCTTGGATTTTCTCCCTGGCATCCTTTTTTTGTTCCTCTGCCCATCTATTGATACCATCACCCATTACCTCTGATTTTCCAAGACAAAGCGTGGAAGCCTGGGAAGGCATCTCCCACCTCAGAAAATGGGGGCTGAGCCATCTAGCACTTCTCACATGAAGGATTCATAATATGACGTTAGTACTTTGAAATGCCGTGAATTTTCATCAGGGATGCCCATGTTTCAGTGTATATTCCAAAGTGAATACTGTAAAAGCTCACTTTTCTAGGGAGTGTTCCAGCAGCCTCCACTCCAAGGCATCAGCCCTGGAAGTAAGAAAGGCCTCTGGGCATTGAGCTTGTTGAGCCAGAGCTGAGAGCCTCACTAGGTCTTCTTTGACCTTCCCCACCTGGAAGTAAGCTCTGCTGCCTCTGAGCCTGCCTCTTGTGCTGTCTGTGCTGCGTCTCTCCCAGGGTACTATTTATCCTTTATACTGTTGACCTGTGTCCACTTCAAGTCCTTGAGGGCAGGGATGGAGTCAGATGCACATTTATATCCTCATGGTTCTATTAAAAGGCTTTATGCATAGTGGAGGCTCAATATAGAAATATTTAGTTGATTGATAGCAGTTTACTTAAATTTTTAGCTGATTTTCCAGCTTGAGGCAGAGTAAAAGTAGCAAACCTAAAAGAAACTAGGGAGGTTTAGAGGTGAGTCCAGTAAGTAGCATGGTGAGAAATGATACCAAGAAGAGAGAACACTCAAAAGCAGATGCAGAACTCAGTGAGTTTTCATTCAATATGCATTTACTGAGGATCTGCCATGTGTGGAACCCTGTATTATAACAGCATGAGACGAAGAAAGTAATGATAATAATGCGGTGTCCTGAGTCATTTAGGAATTATTTTATTCAGCATCCTTAAGGCATACTTTGGATTAACTGTAATAATATTGGATTGTTTAATATTTTGGTTTCTTTATGTATTGGTTTCCAGAAGGAGTATGGATAATTAAGAGTCAGTTAGACGAAGTGAGCAAATACCCTTTCTCAGTCCTTGTGTGCGTTACAGATATGTAACTACAACTGCCACTATCTTCCCCTTTTATCCTACAGCAACAAAAGAGGTACCAGCAGACAAAGAGTTCCGCCTTAGTAATTCAGTCTTATATCCGGGGTTGGAAGGTGAGTTTAAAAGAAGTATGCTTTATTTATTTGGGGTTTTCTGGTTTTTCACAAAGGATAATGTCTTTAGGCTCACCCTGCAGGGGAGGGCTCCTCTGTCTCCTGCCTTGCCTATAAACAGTCAGATGGAAAGAATAAATATTATGGGCCAAACAGGGACCCTGGTGACCATGTCTTGGCCACTTCCTTCTAACCAGCTTTCTTTTTAAGCGCTTTGTTCTCTAAACAGGAAGTCCTTGAAGTAATACCCGTACATGATTTCAATATCCCTTTGCCCCATGTTTTTGAGAAAAGCTATAGTACAGAAGGCTGTCTCACAGCCATTGCTTTCATACTCAGAACCCCTACCCCAGTGACTTCCATAACTGTCCAGTAACCATCTTGCAGGCTTGCCATCACGACTGAAAGATCCTGAGATCTGGCTGGGACTAGCGGTGGGGACATGGGGGAGCCGTCACAGTGGACAGCCTGGTTCCAGGTCCTTCCTGCCAAGGCTTGGTTCAAGGGTCAATGAACTATGGGCCCCAGGCCAAGGGTCAATGAACTACAGGCCACAGGCCAAATCTAGCCTGCTGCCTGTCATACAACCTACAAGCTGAGAATGGTTTTTATATTTTTAAACCATAGGAAAAGATGATTTCATGACATATGAAAAGTCTATGGAATACAGATTTCAGTGTACATAAATAAAGTTTTATTGGAACACAGCCACATTCATTTATTTCACAGATTGGCTGGCTGCTCTAGCACTACAGTGGTAGAGTCAAGTCGTAGCAATAGACTGTGTGACCTTCAGAGCCAAAAGCACTTTACAGAAAAAGTTCACAGATCCCTCATCTAGGTCAACGATACTTCAGAGCATGTTCTGACCCTCTTCCTGTGAGGAGATTTTGTGGCATGGTCTGAATCCAGAGGGGTAGTGCCCAGGCCTGGAGCCCTTTCAGAGGGTAGCCCCTTGGTCTCGAGTCCAGCAACACTGACTGACCTTGCCCAGGCCCTCGACAACTTAAGGGCTTAGTAGTTGTCCCACGGCAGATGGCAAAACACAAATCTGAACATGTAGAGTAAGTGAAATTGCTGCCTGCAGCTTCTTCCTTGGCCTCATGACTGGACCCTGGGGCCCCGTTTGTAGGCTAGGGACCTTAGAGGAAGGACCCAAAGTCCACCTTCAAACCAGGTGTCCTCCTGGCCCCCATACAATCAGTTTCCAGCAACTAATGGAAAGAAACCGCTGGTTTGGGATCAATGAGATTATTTTGGTTTTGCAGTTTTAAAAATCTCTTGAATAAGAAGGACAGCTACAGTTACATTCCAGGCAATAATAAGGAAAGAGATACAGTGGCCTTCAGAGGATCATTGGAATCCTCTGGCCACCTTCTGAGAAATATTTCATCCCACAGATGTGTGCCAGCTTATGGTGCTGTAGTCAGATTTCTCCTATTGTGTATCAGGGTATGGGAGGCTGCTGTTCCAATCAGGTGGAAACCACACTGTCATGCTTGATGATGTCTTCATTGTCCGCCTTCTCATAGTCAGTTTGGGGCTAGTCACCTTCGCCTTCTTTAACCTGTGATTTTCCACAATATCGTGGGTGTTAGGACAATCATCTCTTCAGGTTTTTTTTTTTCAAGTCACTGTCAATTCCATTTTTTTAAATGTTCTCTCTTTTGGGTGATTCTGCCCTTTAGGCTCGAAAAATTCTGCGGGAACTGAAGCATCAAAAGCGCTGTAAGGAAGCAGTCACGACCATTGCTGCATATTGGCATGGGACCCAGGTAGGCCAGAGACCCCAAGGAAGGTGGTGGGTCAGCAGTAATGTCATGTGGAACCATGAACCCTCGGCTTCAGGGGCAGAAAATGTTTCACTGGCTTGAGCTACTGAGCACGTGTTTGCCTCTTGCTCTTTCCAACATTTTGTTGTGGGGTGGTGGCACATGCTTTTGCATTTACCATTTGGTGGTGACTAGTGTCTCTCTTTTTCTTTCTTCATTGAAAACCAGCAGTAACCTTTCCTGCCTTAAACTTTTCTGTAACTCCTTTTCAAATGCATCACAGGCGCGAAGGGAACTGAGACGGCTGAAGGAGGAGGCTAGGAATAAACATGCTATTGCAGTTATTTGGGCTTACTGGCTTGGATCTAAGGTACTTGATGCACATATCCCAACACTCCATCCGGGAATTCTGCAATAATCAGTCCTTATCTCTAGACTATTAGGGGATGAATGACTGCAATTAATAGTGGCTCACACTGGTGCATGTCCTAGCCGCCAGATTTAACACACCTGGAAACATTAGTTCAGTAGTATGCATAGGAAGCTTAGGCATGCATAGGCCAATAAAACTAATTGCTTACTAAAAAGGCACTAGTACTATTGCTCTTTAAAACAAAACAAAACAACTCTTAAATAACATGCATGTTTAGGTTCCCCCCTCCCCACTGATGAATGCTAGCAGTTTTTTAGAGGTTTTCTGGAGGGGTTGCGCATGTTGGGAATGTTCAAGTTTGGGCTTCAGTCGGTCTCTGCAACATGTTGACAATGGAAATGCCTCTAACATATGTCTTTAAAAAATTAATTTATGAATGAAATTTTTTTTTAGGCTCACTGTGGCAGCTATTGATTATTATAAGCAAAATATTACATGTGCAAAGAATTATCATCTGTGATTTAACAGAAAACTATGTTCATGCACAGCTAGCTATAATTGCCACTGAAGAATCCCAGGAATTTCAGCATCAGCTGTTTGTTTTCAGAAACAAAGGCCTCCTGAAATACTCTCACTAATCCCCAGGCATAGTCGTGGGCTCTGTGAACATTTCACATACCCCAAGGGACAAGATTTTTAGATGTTTTTGTTACTTAGAAAATCAAAGGTCATCTTTGCTAAAAATGTGTATTCCAGTTAGAAACACAAACATCAACAGAGTCCTGTGTTTTGAAGTCCACCTTGTCAACATTATAAGCCTATCTTGTGAGAAAATGAGGAAAGTCAACATCTGCCTGCATAAAGAGCTTAATTTGCCAAAAACTAACCAGAGTTGTTCATTTGTGCTTTTCCTGAAAAATCTGTGAAGAACAAACTTGTTCCTCTAGTCAACTGAGGGAAATGTTGTAGCAGAAGCAAATGGACTCTTAGATGGGTCTTGCTAGGATTTCTCCATCCAGTGAGTTCATTTCCCAGTTTCAGTACTATAATATCTTGAACAATTAGTGCCTATTTATATCCTTTAGAATAGCTTGTCTAAGATTATTTTTTCCCTAACAGTAATTTTAAAACCTGTAAGTTTAACCTATAATTGCTTCAGTCTTCAGTATATTTCACTTTGGGGACCTTAGCTAAAATTGAATTTTTATACATGCCACTTTTCATTTTTTGACTAGAAGTAATTTTTGAGTTTTGTTAGTTTTGGTTTTTGTTTGCACTTCAGAGAAATAACCTTTTTTCCTCCCAGTTTTCTAAATGATTGTTCACAAGAGTTATCTTTTTATCCATCCAAAGGGATGAACTCAGACAGGAGTGCATAGCTTCTTCAGCCCAATATGCTGTCAGCAAGGGGGAGCCTAATGACGTCATTAGGGCTGTTACTTAGAGTTTGAAGGCTTTCATATGGGAGTGAAAGGGTGTAGAGAAGGCAGCAAACAGGGAGAGAGAACAAGGAAGAAAAAAGAAAAAGAATGGAAGTAAGGGGTGGGAAATGATTACCTTGGGAACCACACAGATTGCCCTCCTCTGGAACAGAATCTCAGTGCACTGAAAATACAAGCGCTGCACCAGCCTGGCACCAATTCTTTGGGTTTAAATTATTATGCACTGTTTCTCTGTCATTCTGAAATCCTTATTCATAAATTGACTCTTCTGTTTGGTGGGGTATCTTTTTCTGGTCATTTGTGCTGTCTGCATTGGGCTGTCTCTTTTATTTACTATCTAAAACATTCTAGGCTCGAAGGGAATTGAAACGCTTGAAGGAGGAGGCTAGGCGTAAGCATGCAGTTGCTGTCATTTGGGCTTACTGGCTTGGACTGAAGGTACTTCCTCAACCACTTGTTTCTGTCCAGGGTGAACTTCATAAAGCCTAGCACCTACTAACCCTGAGAAAACGATTGATTATGCTTGCTGATGGTCTGCACAGTCTTGTAGAATGTCATCTTGCTTAATGTTTTACCTTTTTCAGAAGAAACCTATACACTAATGTTTTTTCTGATTTTGTGATTTCTATTTCTTTAAATAATAGGTTTAATGTAATAGCAATATGGCATGTTTTATTCAAGATACTATGTTATCAAAGTTCTAGTTTGTTATCTTTATGAGTGTAAAGTTGTTTTTTAAAAATCTATGAGACACGGTTGCAAGAGTTGAGCTAAAAGCTGCCCTACGTCCACAATGAGCAGCCTAGGGATGCCAGGCTTTTGTTTCCCTTTTTATGCCAATTCTGCCCCAGTAATGGCTGCCTGGAGTAGAGCTTTCTTCAGAGCGACCATTGTTCTAATTGTTCAGTGTAGGAACCAAAGGGTCTTGCATCACTAAGCTTACAGATTTTGATTAATGAGATCAGAGATTCAGAGACCAGTGGATCATTCATGTTAAAGAGAACCTCGAATTCAAATACCTTGTGATTATGGCAGGGTTTATTTCAAAGTGTGCTTACTATAGTAGGGTACACTTATGTGTCCGGAACTATACATAAGTAAATAACTCCAAGCTCTGAAAAGGCTTTAGAATATTCTTTACGCCATGTAAGGATCTGGTCTTCCAAATTCAATAATTAATCACCATAGGAAGCCATCCATATTGCCTTTTTGGGATAATTAGGCCCCTTTTTGACAGTATTTCTTATCATTGTTTTTACTTTAATCCTACGATATTTAATCTTACTCTAAATATTTGAATATTATCTGAGAGATCATTGACTCTAAATCTGAACAACCATTAGAAATATCCCTGAATCCTGCTTTGAATAATCTGCATTTTTTCCTGCAACTTCAGCCTATAAATTTTAGTAAATTATCCCTTTTGATTATACTGAGTATTCACCAAGTAATATTTGAAGTAATGAAGAAGTAACTTAAATATGAATTTTAACAGATGTTCTGTTCGAAGAAGTCCAAACAAGCTCTATAACCGGTTTCTTTAAAGTCAAACAAAAGTAAACATTTTCCCATTTAATTCACATCTTCTAATTTGCGTTCTAATTTTCATAACAGGAAGGAAAATTAACATTGAATCAGGATTTTTACTCTATAAAATGATTTCCATCAGTAATACGTTTATCTTCAGTTTTCTGGGTTTAACTGCATATGATTTCAGAACATTTTTGCATTAGGGGTGTGCACTAGCAACTTACAAAGCACATTCAGTTTGTAGGGGAATATTATTTTAGCAGAAGCTAACTGGGCTTACTCTAGACATAACTTTTTTCCTCTCAGTCTCCAACAAAACAGAAGTACTTTACTATATTACCAGTATTGTTGTATGAAATAAGATCAAACTTATTTGAAGTCCAAGAATATAATAATTTTGTATTTTTTTTTTTCTAAAAGAGAATCATGGTAATATGAATGATAGTTTTGCCCTCTCAAATGATTGACTTTTCTTGTGGAAATAATTACAAAGTGCAGTGAGCCTTTTTAAGACTCCCATTTCCCCCAGGGGGCACCATCATATATGCCAGCATGTTGTCACTGGGCTTTAAAGGTCTGTAGTTGTATTTTGGGAGAAATAACCTGCCCTGTGGAATATCAAAATGCATGTAGCAATGAGCTCAGTTATAATGAAGCTCAACTAAATATAGTAGGACTTCAGGTATATTTTTAAGGATATATTCTTATGTAACTTCATTTGTCTGCCTTCATATGCTATTATAATTTCATGACCCAATTGTTAGGTAACATTTTTCTTCTCCTTGTCCTTTCTCACCTTAGTTTGAGATTAGAAATGTTTGTGGATCTGACAACTCCGTGGCTAAAAGGCAAATGGTAATCAGTAACTAGAATATGAATACAGGCATACCTCAGAGACATTGCAGGCTCAGTTCTAGATCTCTGCAATAAAGTAAATATCACAATAAAGTGAATCACACAAATGTTTTGTTTTCCAGTGCAAATAAAAGTTATGTTTACGCTGTCTCTACTATAGTCTATTAAGTGTCTAATAGCATTATGTCTAAAATGCCAAAGTACATACTTTACAAATACTTTATTGCTAAAAAATGCTAACCATCATCTGAGCCTTCAGCAAGTTGTAATATTTTTCCTGGTGGAGAGTCTTGTCTTGATGTCGATGGCTGCTGACTGATGTGGCTGCTGAAGGTTGTGGTGGCTGTGGCAGTTTCTTAAAACAAGACAACAATGAAGTTTGCCACATAGATTGATTTCCTTTCCTGAAAGATTTCTGTGTAGCATATGTTGGCATTTGATAGCATTTTACCCAGTGTAGAACTTCTTTCAAAATTGGAATTAATCCTCTCAAACCTTGTCACTGGCTTTGTCAACTAAGCTTATGGAATATTCCAGATCCTTTGTTGTCATTTCAACAGTGTTCACAGCATCTTCATCAGGAGTAGATTCCATCTCGGGAAACTACTTTCTTTGGCCATCCGTAAGAAGCAACTCCTTGTTCATTTACATCTTATCTTGAGATTGCAGCAATTCAGTCCCATTTTCAGGCTTCACTTCTAATTCTAGTTATCTTGATATATCGCCACATCTGCAGTTACTTCCTCCACTAAAGTTTTGAGCCCCCTCCAAGTCATCCATGAGAGTTGGAATCAACTTCTTCCAAACTTTTGTTAATGTGGCTGTTTTGACCTCCTCCCATGAATCTTGAATGTTCTTAATGGCACCCAGAATGATGCTTCTTTTCTGGAAAGTTTTTAATATACTTTGCCCAGATCCACCAGAGGAATCACTATCTGTGGCAGGTATAGACTTACCAAATGTATTTCTTAAATCATAAGACTGGGAATTACTCCTTGATCCATGAGCTGCAGAATGGATGTTGTGTTAGCAGGCGTGAAAACATTAATCTCCTTGTATATATCCATCAGAGCTCTTGGGTGACCAGGTGCCTTGTCAGTGTGAATTAATATTTTGAAAGTTATCTGTTTTCTGAGCAGTAGGTCTCAATATGGGGCTTAAGATAGTCAGTAAACCATGCTGTAAGCAGATGTGCTATCATCTAGGCTTTGTTGTTCCATTTATGGAGCACACAAGCAGAGTAAATTTAGCATAATTCTTAAGCTGTAGGATTTTTATAATGGTAAATGAGCATTAGCTCCAGCTTAAAGTTAGCAGCTGTATTATCCTCTAACAAGATAATCAGCCTGTCCTTTGAAGCCAAACATTAGCTTCTCCTCTCTAGCTATCAAAGTCTAGATGGCATCTTCTTCCAATAGAAGGCTGTTTTGTCTACATTGGAAATCTGTTGTTGAATGTAGCCGCATTCATCAGTGATCTAGCTAGATCTCCTGGATAACTTTCTGCAGCTTCTATATCAGCACTTGCTGCTTCTTTCCTTAACCCTCTTGAAGAGTTAATAAGCTTTTCTTCTGCAGCTTCCTCACCTCTCTCAGCCTTCTTAGAATTGAAGAGAGTTAGGACATTGCTCTGGATTAGGTCTTGGCTTAGAGGAATGTCGTGGCTGGTTTGATCTTATACCTAGACCACTAAAATTTTCGCCTTATCAGCAGTGAGGCTGTTTCACCTTCTTATCATTTGTGTGTTCACTGGAATAACACTTTCAATTTCCTTCAAGAATGTTTCCTTTGCATTTGTAACTTGGCTGTTTGGCACAAGGGTCCTAGGTTTTGGACTGCCTCAGCTGTTGACATGCCTTCCTCACTAAGCTTAACCGTTTCTAGCTTTCAATTTAAAGTGAGAAGTTTGTGACCCTTCCTTTCACTTGAACACTGAGAAGCCATTATAGGGTTATTAATTCAATATTAATTAATTTCTATATTGCTGTGTCTTGGGTAATAAGGGAGGCCCGAGGAGAGGGGGAGAGATAGGAGAACGGCCAGTGGGTGAAGCAGTCAGAATACACACACTGTCTCTGAAGTTCACCATCTTACAGATAGAATAATAATGAAAAAGTTTGAAATATTGTGAGAATTACCAAATTGTGACACAGAGACACAGAATGAACACATGCTGTTGGAAAAATGGTGCCAGTAGGCTTGTTTGATGCAGGGTTGCCACAAACCTTCAATTTGTAAAACCTCAATGTCTGCAAAGTGCATTAAAATGAGGTATGCCTGTAAAAGGAAAAACTACCCATATGGTATATGTTACAGTTTTTAAACCTTAATAATCTTTAGATGTAGAGAATGGGTCTGGTGCGCAAATGCTGAGGGACCGGGTTGGTCACACAGATGAAGAAAGCAGCAGATGGGAGGTGGATCAGGAGCAAGGGGGACTTGTGTAGTTTGGAGCATGCATGTCTCATCTAAAGGCAACAGCAGCTACTTTGGTCTCCCTGGCCCTTATTTTATAGGACTAGGCCTCAATGTTGCTAGATCTTAGACAACTTTAAGAGAAATCTGCAGTCTGAATTATTATATTAAGTTCTTAACTTATAAATATGCATACAAAACATTTATCTATAAACTGAATTTGGTTAGAAGATTACTGGCTTACATCCCCTAATGTAGAAATATTTTGAACATGTGCAGTTAAACCTAGAAAACTAGAGAGAAAAGAAAAAAGATATATAATGTCTGAATTATTCAGATAGGCTAATATTTTGCTAAATTCTAACTCTCCCATTTATATCTGGATGGTAATAAATAAAGATATTTTTCCCTCAGTTTCAAAATTTAACTATATAATTTATTCATTTGTTATGCAAACACTGCTTAGTTACTCTTATTTGTTAGACATTAGTATATGAAGTAAATATGACAATGTAGCAAGGAAAAAATGTGTGAACTAAAACTATAATATGATGTTTTAAGTGCTCTGATAGCATTAAGTATAAAGTTTGGTGAGAGTAGAGATGATAGAGAAAAATTAATGCAATGAAATGGAAGGTAATGGTAGTTTCAAAGCTTCTTTTTAAATTCTATTTTTAGCCATATTCAGTTCTCAGTGTGTAGTACTAAAGCCTTATCTTCTATGCAAGGCTTTTGGAAACTGATACAGTTCTTCAGACATTTTTTTTTCTTTTTGCCTTTTACAAAACAATCTGAATAGAACATTATTTTATATAGTTTTTAAATGTATTTTAATTTGGGATGAGTTTGCAGCTGTGCCTGTAAAATGTTTCTTGTCAAATCATCAGATTCTTCAGAAACTACTAAGAGGATTTAAAACATCAGTTCATTCTGGTTTCATCATTTTACATCTCTCAATTTCTTTCTCTCTGACTTAAGATCCACTATGTGAATGTGCTTCAATTATTGTACTAAATCCAGAAAGGACACTTATAAGTTGACTTGTTTGACACTTTTTCATTTTTAATAGAGGTGTATCATTATGCATCTGTACCAGCCACACATTAACCACTGCAACCTGCGTCTTCTTTTTAAAGGTACGTAGAGAATACAGGAAATTCTTCAGAGCCAATGCCGGAAAGAAAATCTATGAGTTCACGCTTCAGAGAATTGTAAGTTGACACTTTATGTGTGTGGCTAATTAGCATGATGGAATTACCTACTTAATATCACCAACTCCATAAAATGTGCCTTTTCTTAAATGACAGACGTGACTTTTTAAATAATAATTAAATCATAGCTGTGACACTGAGAGTGAGTAATCTTTTGAAATCGTCTCCCAAATTCAGGTAGAATTGTATCAGAAAGAGTTGTTAGTGGCCCGTATATTATTAATACAATGTTTGTCTTATTTGACAGAGAGAACTTCTGGGGGAAAGTAGACCCAAGAAAGCCAGGGCCTTATCCTGTGAAACTGCCATGAGCTGTGGCAGGGCAAGGCTGGCAAGCAAATTAGTGGGGAGAGGGGTGACCGGGAGCCAGGCTGTGCAGCCCCACCCGCAGGGACTCTGGAGTTCTCCATCTTTCAGAGAGGTATATGTAGTGCTGAACAGACTGCAAACTCTGGAGTTGGCCTCCACTGCCGCTTAGAGATTTGTGACTTGAGCAAATTCTAACTTAAGTGAACCTCATTTTCTCATCTGTAAAATGGGGATAATAGTGGCACTAGCCTCATAGAGTTGTTGTGAGGATTAAAATGAAGTAATGATAGAGTGCAGGGCTGGGCACATATCATATACTCTAGAACAACACTGTCCAGTAGAGCTTTCTGCAGTGAGGAAAACGCCCTGTAACTTTGAGGTACAATAGAGTAGCTGGCCACTAGCCTCATGTGGTTATTAAGCACTTGAAGTGTAACTAGTGTGACTGAGAAACTGGATTTTTAAATTTAATTTTAATTACTTAAAATGTAAATATAAATAACCTGTGTGACTAGTGGCTGCATGTTAGACAATACAGCTCTATAGAGCCAGCTGGCATTAGTATTAGTGTTAATATGAGTGTTAGCATTAGTATTCCTCTTTTTTTTTTTTTTTTTTGAGACGGAGTCTCGCTCTGTCGCCCAGGCTGGAGTGCAGTAGCCGGATCTCAGCTCACTGCAAGCTCCGCCTCCCGGGTTTACGCCATTCTCCTGCCTCAGCCTCCCGAGTAGCTGGGACTACAGGCGCCCGCCACCTCGTTTTTTGTATTTTTAGTAGAGACAGGGTTTCACCATGTTAGCCAGGATGGTCTCGATCTCCTGACCTTGTGATCCGCCCGTCTCGGCCTCCCAAAATGCTGGGATTACAGGCTTGAGCCACCGCGCCCGGCCTAGTATTCCTCTTTTCTCTTAACCATTTGGTGGAACTCATATTTCCCCAACCAGTATGAAAGAGTGGAATAGAGACTTCCCAGATGAGTTACCGTTTTATAAATTCCAAAGTTAAATAAATTCCACGATCGTCTGGTTTATTTGATCATGATGTATGTAAAACAGTGTCTTTTGTGGTATATTTTCCTCACGTAGTATTCTCTGTCAAACCCAACACAGGTGCAAAAATACTTCTTGGAAATGAAAAATAAGATGCCTTCCTTATCTCCAATAGACAAAAATTGGCCCTCAAGACCTTACTTATTCTTGGATTCTACTCACAAGGAGCTAAAAAGGATTTTCCACTTGTGGAGGGTAAAAAATGTCATGTTACATCTTTTCAGAGACTTTCTTGTTTATTTTGAGTGTTTGAAAACTTACGTAAAATCAAAACTGTAACACATTCTTCCTTTGCCTCAAAGAGGATTTTACTTGAGGACTTTGGTGATTTTCCCCCGTGCACCATATTGAGTTTCTATGAGAGCCACCGCACCGGCCCAGGCGTTCCCTGTGCAGTCGCCTCTCGGCCCTGGCTGGAACGGAGAGCACAGGGCTGCGTTTATCTTTCCATTCCAGGTTCCAGCTGCTCTCAAGTAGTTCAGTTTTTTGTTCATGTGTTTTTCTCTTTGTCTAAAGGAATACGGTAGGACAGAGAAATCATAAAATTCGGACACCTTCAGGCAACATAGTTAAATCCTGCAGATTGAAGAGTTTACTTTATCAGATGTACAGAACACATAATCAGATAATGCATGTGAACACACACACTTTGATGGGTGGGAAAAAAGGCTTTTCCCTATCCCTAAAGATAGTAACACATCCTCTATCTAAATTACAGGGAAGCTGGAAATCTGTTTTATTTTGCCTTTTTTTTTTAGCTCTCATTTTATATGAGAATATGGCAGGTAATTTAGATGTTTCCCAGCATGGAGCACGTGGGGCACTTGGATAGATGTTGACCTTATTTCGATAACCTCGTCAGTTGATATGTGAAATGTTAAATATATGCAGTTATCAGATGTAATAAAATCATTAGATGGAAGGGCATGTATTTAGTAGATGAAAGCTCAATGCATACATCCTCCAGGAAACTTTCCTGCCCAGCAGGGTGGGCTTGTTTTTTATCAGAGTCATATATGTATAGAGTGACATTATCACTGATTAGCTTGATAAGTGGTACCGTACACCATAAGGAACTGGATTCTGACTTCTGTTCTCTAACAGCCAATTTGGCGAGATTCATGAACCTCCTAATGGCTTGTCTCCTTTTTTGAGTCTAACCTAGAAACTGTTTTCAGAAATAATGACAGGGAGCTCCCAGTGCTGGGGATCTGCACCACCTCTGCTCTCCCCTGGCTTCGCGATCTCACCCATTCCTCCATTGGATTGGAGGTGGGAGATGAGGGCTGTTTATTCCTGAAGGGAGCCTTTCCATGGAAAGGGTCAGCAGCAGTGCTAACATTTCTTCATGCAGTTATTTCAGTAGCACTTGACCCCCCCTGTAACTGAATTTCTAGGAATGCTCATCCAAAAAACCTGGCCCTGCTCCTCTGGCCACTGTCTCCTCTCATTGCAGCTTCAGGGACAGAGTGAAAGGGGATATCTCAGGTCCCTCGTCCCTGTTGTAAAATGGTAGTGGGGGGATTTGGAGCAGTGGTTTTCAAACTGTAGGTCATAGCGTATTTGTGGGTCATGAAATCAATTTAGTAGATTACTACCAGCGTTTTTCAATGAAATGCAATAGAATAGAAAATAGCAGAGTGTATAATATATAGAAAAGATTGAGTATTGTTTTGTGATGCTTTTATGTCAATATTTTGTGTGTGTATGTGTGTGGAAATGTGCTTAGTGGATTGCGATGCACAATATTTTTACTGTGAGTCTCTCTAGAAGAGTGACAGCCGCAGGACAAGAGGATTTCCAAGGACTGACATAGTGGGAGGAAATAGTACTTGCAAAGCCCATGCCCGCTAGACCCTGGTGTGTTTTGAAGAAGCATCCCAGGTTCTGCAATACAAATAATACTCTGACATTTTCCAAGACAAACTTTTTAAAACCCACAAGGGAAAAATGTTTTTGGCCTTTTTACTGAATGTTTTGTACACTTTCTCCCTTACTCTTCTTGCTGGTAAATTGTCTTAGCATATTTAAGAATGAATAATGATTTGTTTATATAAATGATGTTTTGTTTGTTTCTTCTCATATCTCACAGTGTAAAAAATACAGGGACCAATTCACAGACCAGCAGAAACTTATTTATGAAGAGAAACTAGAAGCCAGTGAACTCTTCAAAGACAAGAAGGCTTTATACCCATCTAGGTATTATGGCTTTGCTTTACCCATAAAATTCAGGATTTTCAAAGTTTCTCAAGTATATTTGTACGCCATTTTGCATGGTGTTTGATTTCAGTCTTAGATGTGCAATTTTTAGTTCTGTGAATCATTTTATAATCAGCTTGATGTAAACACATTTATTTGAGCTATGGCTTCTATAGTGCAGTTTAATGAAATGAGGTTACGATTGTTGGTTTCACTCCATTAGCATTAGCTCAAACACTTTACTAAATAATTAGAAGTCATTTAACATAAAAATTATATAGGCTGTTAAGATACGTTTGCATTGTAAATTCCTGCTCCTTTTCCATAGTTTTCAAAGACTAGCCAAATTTCTGTTGGCAATATACTTTAATCACCATTCCAGTCTTCCTGCCGTAACAAGCAGGGTCAGAAACTCATTTGTAAGGTAAATGAAAGAGCGAGCCAGGATAGTACTTTTCGAGTGTTGCTTGAGCACTGGTCCGTAGTGCCCTTTGGTCTGCTAACTCAACGGATATGACTTCTGTGGCCTGTACAGCACGTTCAGTTCCTTTATTTTAGACACTGTGGACTCAGAAAAAGAAGGAACACCAATCCCAAGTTCAGCAAATGAAGTCCTTGATAAAGACTATTTATCCAAATAGTCTTATATCTCCCGCATTCATCATTTCCTCCCAGCGTTCTTACCCCATTTTCATCTGGTGTTTATAAAAAAAGTAGATTGTACGATTTCAAGCCAAATCTATAACAACGTTAAGCTTCTCCCAAAGAATGGCCTCCAAAGAATGTATTATATGCTGAGTATATTCACATTTATTACATAAATTATGTTTATATTCTCTGTGACGTTACACACATTTCAAATATCTTCCTTTTAAAGGATTAAATGAACGTACATTGCTGGACTCACTGGGTTTAAATATTTTAAATTGTACAACTTCCTTGGTTAGCTGATGTGGCTACTTGAGGTGATATATACTCCCTTAAGTCAAACATAGTGTCTGAATCCAAAGTTGTCCAAAGTGCCTGTTATATAAAGCATTTTCAAACAGGAGAATTTGTCTATATGCTTACTTCAGCAACTAATTTTATTCAGCTTTAATTTATACATTTTTAAATTAGAGAGTAACCTTCTTAATGAGCATTTCCTGTGGATGACTCTTCAGAAACTACAGGCTGGAAAATACATCTTTGAGGAAACAGTTTAAAAGCCTGTTAGCATTTTTATAATTTAAAACACATTTGAATAGGAACCAAAAAAAGTTAACTTCAAGCCAAGTCCTTTTTGGGTAGTCTTATCAGTTTTCAGGGATAGTGGCACACTCACCCCACAGCAGTGAGAGAGGTGGAATAAATAACTTAGCCTCCCACCACCCTGCAAAGTGGCAGCTCTTATGGGAGTTGGCCTTTTATATCCTGAGAGCTGTGAAACGCTGACCACCTACGTGGATTTTTCTTCCCTGATCCTCCACCCACAACATAAGCATTTAAAGTTGTATTTGCAAATTGCCAGAACTTTGTAGCTCAAAGTGAAGCTTGTAGATCCCTTGAAGCAGCAGTTTTTCCTTAGTGCCTTTGGTGAAGCTGTCCTGAAAGAGTCCCCCGGCAAGTCTTTAGGGAAATTGACATCTTAGTGATAAGTGTACTGTTAACCTCTTACAAAAATTTATTTGGGAAAAAAAAAATTGCCCTTATTCTGAATGTTTGCTTTGGTTAAGTCTGTCCATTTAAATGCATATTCTAGGAGAAGAGGCTTGATTCTCCTTTCATATACAGATGCTGCTTAACTTATGATGCAGTTACACACCTCATATGGGTTATGAGTGATTTCTATGTTGATTGTTCCATGTGATAAGATTATCATCAAATTCCTGCCCACCAAATGCCATGATCACCTCAAAAATATATTTGAAATAGGTTTAAGGTTTCATTTCCAACTTATATTTAGGACAGATGCAAGTGTAATGTACAAAATAAATTGAAACCAATTTTTATGAAGTTGTCATATGTCATATGAAGTTGAAAATATAAGTTGAAAATACATTTAATACACATAACCTACTGAACACAATCACTTAGCCTAACCTACCTTAACCATGCTCAGCACACTTACATTAGCCTACAGTTGGCTACAAAATCATCTGCAGCCTACAAAATCATCTAACACAAAGCCTGTTTTATAATAAAGTGTTGGATATCTCATATGGTTTATTGACCACTGTACTGAAAGTGAAAAACAGAATGGTTGTATGAGCACCATTGTAAAGTTGAAAAACCCTAAGTCAAACCAAGTCAGGGACCATCTATATTGCCTACTTAGAACCACAGTTACGTGTTAATATTAAGTGTTCTATAGTTTTCTTCTAAAGTGATTGCCCTGGATCTATTCTTTCCCAGAAGGCCTATTGATTTTCTTATTCTCTGCAAGAAATGAAATTTTTCTAGAACAGGTGATGGTAATGATTTCAGCTCTTTTTTCACTGCCACATATTGTTTGAAGGCGTTAGTAAATCCTTTGCGAGCAGCTGTTAACTTTATATTAACAGATTAGAAGAAATTGCCTTTTCCTTCACATGAGACCATGTACTTGAGTCTTAGCTATTATTCTTTTTTTTTTGAGACGGAGTCTTGCTCTGTGGCCCAGGCTGGAGTGCAGTGGCCAGATCTCAGCTCACTGCAAGCTCCGCCTCCCGGGTTTACGCCATTCTCCTGCCTCAGCCTCCCGAGTAGCTGGGACTACAGGCGCCCGCCATCTCGCCCGGCTAGTTTTTTGTATTTTTTAGTAGAGACGGGGTTTCACCGTGTTTGCGAGGATGGTCTCGATCTTCTGACCTTGTGATCCACCCGTCTCGGCCTCCCAAAGTGCTGGGATTACAGGCTTGAGCCACCGCGCCCGGCCAGCTATTATTCTTATGAGTGATATCTATCTTGGTTGTTCCATGTGATAAGATTATTATCAAAGTCCTGCCTACCAAATGCCATGATCACCTCAAAAATATATTTGAAATAGGTTTAAGGTTTCATTTCCAACTTATATTTAGGACAGATACAAGTGTAATATATAAAATAAATTGAAATCAACTTTTATGAAGTTATCAGCTATTCCTTAGAATCAAGTGATGTGTTTCCTTTTTTTAGTAGAACTTTCATTTGAAACTATTTCTAATGTGCAGGAATTTTTTTCCTTTAGTGTTGGGCAACCATTCCAAGGGGCTTACCTGGAAATCAACAAGAACCCCAAGTATAAGAAACTCAAAGATGCCATTGAAGAAAAGATCATCATTGCTGAAGTCGTGAACAAAATTAACCGTGCTAATGGGAAGGTAAAATTGCTAACCTTGAAGACTGATAAGAAGTACCTATTACTTGGGATAGTCACCCCGTTTTCTGAATGTAAAAATTTGCATTTCATGTTCTCAGTAGAGTTAACTGTGAAGGGAGCTATTTCCCCTTACCTTTAAGCTTAGATGGAATTTTGCTTGTTCCTCTGACATTTTTATGAAATAAAACATATTATTTATGTTCCTTACTGTGTTCTTGGTTTACATAAGTATGTTTGTTGAAGGATATTGGAATAAAACATGTATTTTTGCAAATGCCTTAAACTCATAGACCATTTTTGAGTATTTTTGATCATTGGTTTTATACTATTTTCTATTTTGTTTTAGAGTACATCTCGGATTTTCCTCTTAACAAATAATAATCTCCTTCTTGCTGACCAAAAGTCTGGACAAATCAAGTCAGAGGTTCCCTTGGTGGATGTGACCAAGGTATCAATGAGCTCACAAAATGATGGCTTCTTCGCCGTCCACCTCAAAGAGGTAAAGGTTCAACAAAAGATTTCTGCGCTTCATCTCTCAGCCATTGATTTTAAAAATTTCCATATCTGACTAATCCTATGGCAGTTTGTATATCTGCCTTGCTAATTTGCAAATTTTGGATATTCGCCCCTATGTAAAATCTCGGGCTCGGTTTTTCAGTAACTGAATAAAGTTAATCACTTTTATTGACCAGTTTACTTCACTTTTTGAGACTAATACATAGGAATATCAAGATGTTTTAAATATTGTTTTCTCCTGTTTTTTCTTCTATGTATGAACTTAGTAAATGTCTTAATGTTCATCTCTAATCTGGGGGTTTATATTAAAGGATACAACTAAAATAAAATAGCTGCCAGTTAATTTTAACCTAAATAATTTTTAGTGTTCTGTGTCTTTAGCTTAACCAGGACTCCTGGCTTGGATGCAGTGGTTACGTGTAGGTTCTGGAGTTGGTCTCACTCACTTTATGATGATTTTGGCCAAGGCATTTAACTTTGTGTGTGCCTACCTACTTTTTGTCATCTTTAAAATGGAGATAGTAAGAGTGCCTACTTCATATAGCATTGTTGTAAGGATTAATTGAGACCCTGGAGGAACAGGGCCTGTCACATAACACATAGTCACTGAGTAAACAAAAGCTACCAAATATTGATCATATGTAGGAGCATGTGTGTAGCTGATAATGTTACTCTCTGGCCGACCTTAAGCTTAGAAAACTCCCCAAAGCTTCCCTTAGCCTGTTTACCCTGCTTTGGATCTTAACTTAAAGGGGGCATATCAAATGCTAGGACAGTGATTCTCAACCTCAGTGACACATTTAAACAGCTTGGGAACTTTAAAAATGCTGATGCCCAGGCCATACCCCCGTACAATCAAATTAGAATTTCTCAGAAGGGGGCACAAGCATCTTTTTTTTTTCTTTTTTTCTTTTTTCTTTTTTTTTTTTTTCTTTAAATAAACCCAGATGATTCCCTTGCACAGCTAAGGCTGAGAGCCACTGCCCTGGGATATTTGTTGGAAGTGTTGTCGTTAGGGTTTTAACCAAATCACTGAAAAGTTTTTTAATCAGGTCCTTCAGAAGAGTTGCAGGTTAGGTCCATGCTCCTCAAACCTGAATGTGTAAACCCATACCTGGAGGTTGTGTTGTGGTTTCATATTCACTGGGGCTGGGTAGGGCCTGAGATTCTGCTTTGCTTTTTTTTTTTTTTTTTTTTTTTGAGACGGAGTCTCACTGAGTGGCCCAGGCTGGAGTGCAGTGGCCGGATCTCAGCTCACTGCAAGCTCCGCCTCCCGGGTTTACGCCATTCTCCTGCCTCAGCCTCCCGAGTAGCTGGGACTACAGGCGCCGCCACCTCGCCCGGCTAGTTTTTTGTATTTTTTTTAGTAGAGACGGGGTTTCACCGTGTTAGCCAGGATGGTCTCGATCTCCTGACCTAGTGATCCACCCCTGTCGGCCTCCCAAAGTGCTGGGATTACAGGCTTGAGCCATCGCACTCGGCCGAGATTCTGCTTTTCTAGCAAGCTCCAAGTGATGCAGATGGTGCTTCTGCTGCATCCACCAACTTTGGGTAGGAGGGGGTTAGGTAACCTTACTAAAGTGCTCTGAGCAAGTTGGAAGAAACACTGCTTTTGTCATTATTGTTTACCTTGGGAGAATGGATTCCAGGATCTGATGTTTTAAAGAGACTGTAAATATGTTTTTAGCCAAGCCTGTAAATATTGACCTCCTAAGGTATCTTTAATTATGACCGACTCTTGGTTTGTCCTTGCAGGGCTCAGAAGCAGCTAGTAAAGGAGATTTTCTCTTCAGCAGTGATCACCTGATTGAAATGGCCACCAAGCTCTATCGCACAACTCTCAGCCAAACCAAACAGAAGCTCAATATTGAGATTTCCGATGAGTATGTTCATGTATTGTTTGAAAACACTTTTTCTCTTTCAGCTTTCTTGTTTTAGTTCTGCTCTCTGATCACATTCATTAATACAACTACTTACTAAGTACCAGGTATGTGTCTAGTAGTAGTTCCACATGATAAATGGGCAGTGAATGACACTGGACCAAGTCTTCAACCTCATGTACCTGACATCCTAGTGGAAGAGACTACTATGTACAAATAAAATGATGAAATAGTTGATAAGATTTCAGCTAACAACAAATGTTTATGGAGGAAAAAAGGGGGTAAGAGTCAGAGACTAGGCCAGGCACAGTGGCTCACACCTGTAATCCCAGCACGTTGGGAGGCCGAGGCAGGCGAATCACGAGGTCAGGAGTTCGAGACCAGCCTGGCCAACATGGTGAAACCCTGTCTGTACTTAAAATACAAAGGATTAGCTGGGCATGGTGGCGGGTGCCTGTAATCCCAGCTACTCAGGAGGCTGAGGCAGGAGAATCTCTTGAACCCGGGAGGCGGAGATTGCAATGAGCCAAGATCATGCCACTGTACTCTAGCACAGGTGACAGTGTGAGACTCCATCTCAAAAAAAAAAAAAAAAAAAAGCATCAGAGAGTATTTTTGTTAGGGAGGTCAGGGAGGTCTCTTTGATGTGGTGACGTCTGAGACTGGTATCAATTTGAAATTTACTTCTTCAGTTTCTCGTTACGGTTCTGATTGTAAAAGCTGGTTATTTGCATACACGTTGGGGCACCCCCTCATTTACTCAATCTGTCTATGTAATCTGTCTGTAAGTGTTTTGGACAAATCTGAGTTACTATGTTGATTATACTTAATTGATTACCTTTCAATAGATTGTTTACCTGCTTATATACTTCTTTGCATGTCTAGATTGCTCAGGAAATTTTATTCTTTTCTAATTAAGAATTTCTAGTCTATTCTGTTTCAACTCTTCCTAAAAGTCTTTCTAAAATAAATTTACACCCATTTCTGCCCCTTTGTATTACATCAGACTCTCTTTGATATGTTAGGATTTTGCATGCTGTGGGCTTTTCTTAAGTTCTCATTGAAGTGTTTAGATTTGGGTGGGAGGTTGGGCTTCATACTCTATATTGGAAGTTGTTGTTTGGACTAAATAACTTTTCTTGTTAATGAGACCTTTCTCATAAAACAAAGAATATTAGGAAAAAAGATAATAGTTGATGTGTTTCAGTTAAGGATTTAACGTTAGGGCCTATTACAGTTTTAAAATCCCTTTATAATAGTTGAAGTTTCTCATAATCTGTGAGAATGGGCTTCGTAGGGCTGCTAATTCCCACTTACCATGGGAAGATCGTATGTATCCCAGACAGCAGAAGCTCCTCAGTGTACAGACGAAGCAGTCTCATAGTTGTCCCATGACGTGAATAAACTCATCTTTACACAGAAGCGAAATCACACCAACATCCAGACCACAAAGGACTGTTACTTTTAAGCATTTCCCAAACCAGGATTCTAGGAACATTGCTCATACAGAACACTAATAATGATGTACTGTGAAGAAATGGTTCTCTGATGGAAATTTAAAATCTTTCTTCACTACATCACTTCTCAGAGCCCCTGAAATCCTGTTGTAATTCTCCTGAGGAGCTTTGCGGGGATAGCGTGTGGTGTGATTCCTAAACATAGCCAACCACAGAGCCCCTTCAGCAGCTCTCACAGCTTGTGTGCGAAGGTGTGCCATCTGGGAAAGGGGGACAGTTCGCTTCTGGGCAGCAAGGGTCCTGCCCTGTCACAGAGGGCGTGTGATGTTCTGGATGCCATAAGCTTTCAGTAAACATAGTTGTCTGAGCCAAGATTTATAGTGTGGCCACATGAAGAAAACAAACGTTGGGTAGCATTATAATGCCTTTCCTTCTCCAATGCCTCATTATTGATTGGTCTCATAAAAATAAATAAAACAGTTCATAGGACTCTACGTAGCACCCATGGGTCCCTTCCCCAGGTGGCACAGGAAGCCTGGAGAGGAAGTTTGTAGGTAAGGATTGTAAATCTCCTTAGGGAGCATTTTAAATTTAAACAAAAATGTTCAAAGTCATAGGCAGGGGCTCCTATTCCTTTATAGCCCTAAGTGGCTTCACCAGCTCTATAGAACCAGTGTTGAAAACCATGATGCAGCTTAGTGACTAAGCCCTTCCTTCCTTTATCCTTCCCAAAAGTAGAAGTAGTTACTCTAACAAACCCAGATTCTGTAATCGTTATGGATAAGTGGATGTCAGTTTATGGAAAGAGAATCAAAGTCCTGTTAACTCTTTAGTGGATTATTATTATTGGTTTTT